CACCGTCGACAGAGGTCTGCCCCGACAGTACAATCATAGCAACAGTACAATCGTGGAAGTCGTATGCCCCTTCGCAGGGGGTTGGGGGAGGTGAGAGTTACTTCGCGTGGAAAGTTTAACGTTTCTAAACACAAGGAGATGTAAAAATAGTAATTGTTATAATACATATATGACAGAAATTATACATTAATATGTATAATTTCCGAGAAATGGTACGTTAATTTTGAAACTTTTTTTGTTAATAACTTTTTAACGGACAGTGACCGCCACCTAAAACCTGCGGGAGGTTTCTCAGGATCATGACCTTGACAACATATGTCAAGGTCAAGATCATCGGGGGGGGCTCCCCTATTCTATATATTTACCCAATATTGAAGGAAATAATAAAATATAACAAAAAAATATCCTTACTTATTGTATGTACTCAGTTTTTATATTATAATATAATGTAACTATTGTATTATACAGGTATATATATATACATATAAATAATTTGTAAGGTAACTTTCCCAATTTTGATCATACATGTAATACAAAATTAACATGGAACAATTCCAGATACGCCAAAGCGGTAAACATCATATTCAATCAAGTGCTCTTCGTTCAGTTCTTTAGTAGTATACTGGTATTGTGCACAAGTGTGTATTACTTGTCAACACATATTAGAGAACTTTCTGCAGCTGCATCTTTCTTAGCATATACCATTTGCATGTTTGTACAAATTTTTTTTTATTGCTGGTCCGGGAACGAAGTAATGCTTAAAGTAACTACCTTGTATACTCCATATAATCCATACAAAATAGTATCCACACAAAACAGATGTATCTTTTACTATTGATTTTGTGAATTAATTGAAAATAACAGACTTTTTGTACAACTCAACTGACATATTTGACAAGATAAATTAACATATGATTTATCAAATAAATTTGAAGTATTCTATATTATTAGGTGCTTGAATTGATTCTCGCTGTCTTTTACTAAAAAAAAAACTTTTATTTTTTTTTTTTACCAAAAAGATACCTGATATTTTATTCACAATATTGTCCATCGAAAGCTATAACCTTTTCCCACTTTTCGAGTAACAAATGGATTCCGCGGTAGAAAAATTCAGATTCTTTCAAGGCGATCACATCTGCCTAGCTGGCTCCCCACTTAACCAGATCTTAATTTAAAAATAGTACAGTCCTCAAGGGCGAATGAGAGTGCAGCGTTGATATTGGTACGCAATTTTAATAAACCTTTATTATTGAATTGAATTCACAAGTATCATTTATTCAATAATGAACAATATAATACGTTTCGACTAATATTAGAGTCATCTTCAGTACATTTCCATATTAAATATAATAAAACAATATTTGTGAGACACGTCACATCGAATTGGCAGATAGGATGTTATAAAGTATTCTGTTGAAAAATAAATTGTACCAATTATTATAAAATTTAATACAAATTCATTATTTAAATTAAGTGACATACCTCACAAATCACAATAAATCTCAAAACCATAAATAAAATTGTGTGGATGTTAAAATCACATAATTATAAATAATACATATTTTTTATTTTTGAAGCAATTTCAATTTAAAACGAACATGACGTTGTTCTGTCATTATCACGACTGAAGTATCATGCTAAGTATAGCATAAAATATTAGAAAAAACAATGAGTGTAAACAAATGTATACGTGGATACAGTGAGTTCCGCCCCACGTGCAACAGTATAATTATAGAAGTTGTATGCATAGCACACACACACTGGCGGGTGCAAGGGGGTGGCCTTTGCCCCCCCCCCCACACCCACACCGTCGACAGAGGTCTGCCCCGACAGTACTATCATAGCAACAGTACAATCGTAGAAGTCGAGGGGGGGGGGGGGGGAGAGTAAAAGTTACTTCGCGTGGAAAGTTCAACGTTTCTGAACAGGGAAAGATGTAGAAGAACAGGTTAAAACCTGTTGGAGGTTACTCAGGGTCATGAACTTGACAACATACGAGTATGTCAAGGTCAAGATCATCGGAGGGTGGTCTCCTTTTGTAAAGGTTTAATATGTAGTATACTAAGAATAATAAGCACATCATAACTTCATTCAAACATTTCTAGCATTAAATTTTCTTGTCGATGAAAATCCTTTTTATTTCTGCCAAGTTTCATGATAATCGGACGTTGGCCACTTTCGGAAGTTCACCTTATTCGTGTAAGGTAAACAATAATAAAATTCTATTTTTTATTGTCACAGGTACATTTATCTTATTATATGATCTTTTCTTGTTACTTTAGTAAAAAATCTATACAAATATATTGTTTATCTGTGGTATTTTATGTTATCTAAAATAAATTAATGTACTTTGAGGCATAATGGCGCACTAATCATGGGGCATAATGGTGCACACCAACGACATATATACATAGACCGAGCATTCTGTTCTTAGCTTGAAGCCGGAAGTTGGCAGTTTAACTAGACCCGTTGCATCTCTTTCTACCTTGAGAGAGAAAGAGAAGCGCTCTTGACAGTCGCAAGTGTAAATAAACAGGTCAGAAAGTGCGATCATAAACATATGAGATAAAATTATTTTATTTTGAAATAATGTTGAAAATATATCAAATTTATTTAAATAATTATTATACAAACCTAATTAGTATAACTAATGATAGTAAAATTTATATTAATATAATCGAGTGATATATTTATCTCAACCTAACCTAACCAATTAACTTAGGCATCATTTATATAACATTCTTCTAAATTTGCTTAGTGAACAACATTTTTTGTCATTTTCGTGTTTCTCTCTGGGATCAACGGAATCAACAATATAATATGAGAAAGGTTATGTGCTCTTGACAATACTAGTCGCAGAAAGTGTAGACCAACGGTACAAGAAGGTTGGTTGGAAAGAATATAACTGAATATACCGCGAGATAAAGTGAGATAACACGGGTCTACTTAAACTGTCAATTTCCGGCTTCAACTCCCACCATAGAAAAGCATGGAAATGCTCGGTCTATGTATATATGTCGTTGGCTCTAGTACATGATTCCGAAAAGTATGTACTAAACCCATGTCACATGTCCGTGACGTTGGCACGTTACCAGGCCCGGATTAAAGAGTTGAGAGGCCCGGGGCTATTTATAACTTTAGGAGGCTTGCGACTTAACCTATGAAATATTACCTCCTGATTCTCTTTTCCACTTAAACGGCGGCAACTTTTAACACGACAAGATAATGGCATTGTAAATTTTCCAAAATCACACACAAACGAACGTTACACTTACGTATATCGCCTATGTGCCCTTACCGCGGCCATGACACAATAGTAACCACGTGACCGTTTTATTCTGACGTTACGCTTCGTAATACATAAGTTTTGGAATCAATTTTTATGCACGGTACATAGGGGAGTTAGCGATCTATAGTGTTATATAAATATCTATGGTTCTAACTCACTTTTAAGCAATATCAATATTAATTTTTTAAAAGTAGACAAGTTTTATGTGGTATTCCATTATACCCCGCATAAATGACATAGTGAGATTATGACACACTCTTACAAAACAATAATTTCGTCCTGTTAACTTGTACTTTTGCAGTAAAACTTAGGTTTTTCTTATAGTAAAGACTCCAAAGAAAATTTAAATATATTCGAAAGTTGATTTATTTATTTTTAATATATTTAAAACTTGAAAAAACTTAACTATAACCATTATACCCCGGGTTCCCCTACTGACCTTTTTCAACAGCGCGAATTAATTCAAGCACCTAATAGATCACAATAAGAGTATTCATTTTGAACATATGAATTTTATTTAATATAATAATGCATATTATACGTGCACGCACGTATACGTATAAAACTACAATAATATCACTAAGATTATTCGATATTATTACATAATAATAACTTTATTTGTATTACATTAAAAGAGTATGAGCATAGCAGACGCTATATATCATATGGATTGGCCATTACTATCGATCGATGAAAAAAAAGGATTGTTGATGATCATGTTACGCAGTACAATTCCTATAAAGTTCACAAGCAGCTTCTTCATAACTTTATCCCTTCAGTCTTATAGCAACGTTAGTATCATTTGGTGTCAAAATAAATATTTGACATAGTATGTCAAAAACATGAAGATATGCTGTTTGATATTATTGATATTTGTCGCGTACGTACGAAAATACAATCGGATTGCACATAAATCTGTAATCTTCTAAATATTAATGTTTTTCTTATTTTTTTCAGATCTTAAAAACGTCATATTCAGTATTTAGCGTTTTGCAAAAGCAAAAGTAAAGTATATATATGTATATATATATATACACATATAAAAGTATATTTGAAAATGATGTATATTGAAGTATAATTTGAATGTAATTTTGAGTATAGCACATCTTTTAGTATTGTTTTTTTTAATATATTAGGAGTATAAATAAGTTTTCGCCGTTTGACAAAAAATGGCGTCACCAGTATGTTATAGAGTCCCTATACTAAGAGTCTGGCCAAGGTTGTCATCCAGCCTATTGGTTTCGACAAAATATGGCAGAGCCAATGAAGTGTCTCGAATTTAATATCTTGGACGCGGTATCATTCAACTAGTAAGAATCATAGAAAGAATAAGAATAGAACAATAATGTAATAAAGCTGTTTTTAACAATTTTTTAATGTGAAAATACAAATATAATTTCAATTAATGTATTCATAAATAAATAATTATATCATTTAATAGCAGCATTATTATTAAACAGCACCAGTTTTATTCAGTTAGTAGGAACAGAACAATGAGATAATAAAGTTGTTTTTAACATTTTATTTAATGTAAAAATACAAATACAAATAAATTTTAATAGTATTCATAAGTAAACATATCCTCTAATTTTTACTTATAAATACATTACTTATAAAATACATTAAAATGATATAAGTAAATTATATCATAGCAGCATGCCTAGTCATAGTTTTACTACTATATGTATAATTCTTATTTTAATATATAAAGTAATCGTCCTTTGTTGCAATCAATTTTTATGCGAAATGTAATATACCGTTTCATTATTTTATCGAATAGTGCAGTACCACATCGATCACATCACGTTTTTGGTTATGTACGACGACGCCATGTTTTGTCGAACTAGACCAAAGAACTAGACCTTGGCCAGACTCTTAGTATAGGGACTCTAGTATGTTATGGTTAAAAATTAAAATTGTCTGCTGTAAAACGTCATATCGTAAGGTTGGACATCTGGCAACAACATAACCTTGAAATATTAGCGATTTTGTATCAGCATCATATATCTTTTTTCGTGTGAAAATGTCGCGTTTTTTTTTAGCCAAATAAGCGTCATTTGCGGGAGCTTCTTTAATTTGAAGAAATCTGCATCGATTGCTTGTAGAAGCATATAGTGAGACTGCCTTAAATGAGAAAAGTTGCCTTGAGTGGTTCCAAAAGTTTAAGAACGGTGAATTTGATGTTGAAAACAAAGAACATAGTTTCGACATTTTTTGTTTTTCCGACGTGAAATCCACCAATTACCAGAAAGATGGGAAAAAATAGTGGCTAGCGATGGACAATACTTCAAATAAAACATTAGGTACCATTCATTTTTGATGAAAAAACGGCGGAAACTTATTTATACACCTAATAGTTTTGATAAATTAGCGATTTTAGATCTTATAATTTTTATTTACTCACGTATTATTTTTACTTCTGATCTTATTCCTTATTTCACTTATTCAAATACTGGCACACGTGAGGTATACACATACTATATGCACGTATATACTAAAAATGTACCCTGATAGGAAAATATTATCAATTTGGGGCTAAATTAGCAAACTTGATCAGATTTTGACTACAATACAAAACCATAGCCATCTGTATCTGCATTTGACTATGAATTTGTCGACAAAGCCTGCACTGACAGAGACTATGCCAGCAAATTGGTGACAGAAACTCAGTAGTCTGCTTGATCAGGTTTTGCTCTCAATCTACCGTCAGATTATACAGGACTTAACTCGATTTCTGCTATCAATCTACTGACATAACATGTCTAGCGGGTTTTGTCACATTTCTGACAGTAATTTGCTGACAATGTCAGATAATACAAATTTTGTATACAATTTGTTGCTTTTCTGCAATCAAAAGATCTGTTTTCCGTAGCTGAACTAGTGCGTAGCACAATTAACACTTACATATAAAGCGCTAATAAAGTGCGCATATAGGTACATTTTACTTTAGCAACTTTAAAAGCGCTTTCGAAATCCGCTATGAAAAACGCATTATAAGCGCATACAATTGCATATAAGCGCAGAAGAAATGCTTTTTTATGTACTTTTAAAGCGTTTTTACGCGCATTATCATTTTTTGATCAATGACTTGAAATTTGCCAATTTATTCGCATGCAATGAAAGCACTGATATGTATATATGGATAGCGAATGCCCTATACCTGCAGCAATGCTAAATTTTTGTGCGGAATAGAAGGGCCGCCATGTTGACTCAGGTGTGTCATTTGAGAAGTGGGGGGAGTGGGGAATGAAGGATAGCGGTTCCGCGGGAGCTTTGAAATCAGTATAAACATAACATTATTGTTTGGTGGCGAATAACGTCGATGATTGCATAAAATGATAATGCAATAAAATGTAAATGTTTGTAAATATCCCGGCAAACGAAAAAGAATTAAAAAGAATTGAAATTTGTAATTCTTTCAATATCATTTTGAACACCTAAGAAGAATATTGAAATGCATTAAAAGTAATTGAAAACGAAAAGTAGGAATTGAATGAATTGACAAGAAGTTTTTCCATGCAAGAATAAATATTGGTTAAACTTATCGCATAACCTCAATAACGTAATTTATTAGCAAATTTCCCTTACCGATAAAGAGTTCTTTGCACCGATGCAGTCTTCTCTGCCTTTTTCCCACAGAAATAGCACTTCATATTGCATTCCAATTTACAAAAACGATCACCAAATCTATAACGGCATACCGAACAGAAAACAGCCTTTTTAATATTAACCGCGCGACATAACATTACGAATGCACCCGACAGATACCGACAATTCCCGAAAATGACACAGTAGAGTAAACATGGCGGCTCTAAGTCGGCACACGAATTGCAGCCCATCCGCTATCCATATTATACATATCAGTGAATGAAAGGGCATAACTGACAGCAATTTTGGGAGGTGCAATCTGACCAGTACTTCAAAAGTGCTTCGCACGCACTGCTGTGCTACGTGGGCTGTACACTGCTGGAACTTAAAATGAGACAAATATATGTTTGATATTTGTTGAAATCAAGAAAGAGAGTTCTAGTACAGTCTAGTGCAGAAACAGAAAACAGACTAAAAATTGGTAGCAGTCTCTACTCTGTAAAATCTGTCTCAGTAGATTTTGCTATCAGAGTATATGAATAACACAATATATAATACATAAAATATTAATGTATTTTAATATAAAAGCAGAAATCATATTAAATTAAATGTTAATTGAATTAAAATAATACAATTTTTTTTATAAGTTACCTATCGACATTCCTTTTGCAGATTACATCCTTTATCAAGAAACAATTCACTTATTATATGACAAGCAAATGTATGAACAGAGTTAGTTTGGAAAGTATTTAGATACATTATATTATGTTATCTTTCTCGTCACAATAATAAGGTATAAGTACAAACTTATACCTTATGCAATAACATAAATTTATCATTTGTAAGAAATACAATCTTGTGTTGAATTGCTACAGACAATATAAAAAGGCATACAAATATTTTATCCGATTTATTATTAAAATGTGTAAAAGACTCCCAATCATGATATAAAGACAAGGGTATGGACATTCAGTAGTAGACCACTGCGCATGCAACAAGCATAATATATGGTTACATTCGGCCAGCCTCAACTATATCCGATGCGATTCGTGTCCGTGAAACATAGTCGTCATTCAATAGCTATATGGAATAACCTTTCTGAGTAGCATCTGTGTACTGTTAATATACTAACGTGAAGATTATGTTTTTATTACAAAAAAAAATGAGCAGTGCAGTAAAAGGATACACGAATTATACTCCGAAAACGGTATATCAAGAAAGCATGTTTAAAATAATTTGTTCAAATTTAGCACGTAAAGATGACGTAGCTTCACTGTTAAAAAAGACATGAAATTTCATGTATCAGGTATGAAACCGGAATTTACCAATAGATGGTCACAGCTGTCAATGTAGTTACCGTCAGAGCACGTCATTGACGCCATTTCCTTGTTCTGACATCTGACAAAGATTTTCAAATAAACAATCGTGAATTATAAGGCTATAAAGAGTCAAACGCAGTTGATCATGCGAAAAATTAATTTAATCTTACAATTAAAAATACAGTCGAACGTTTCGGTCTGTGATTTAGACCATCTTCAGCGACCAAGTGATAATAAATACAAAGCTCCATATATTCCAAGTTATAATACCAATTGAAAAACAATTATTGTTAATTAACAAAAAGTTTCCGTGCACCAACCAGAGGTAAAAGCATCGTGTGAAGATGTGTAGCAAAATTTTTTAAAAAACAGTAATATGTCTGTGAAAAGACAGTAATAACATATATTATTCTATTAAAAATTATCCAAAGACAATTAAAACAAAAATTTTTAAATATTTAAACACTCACCCCTGTTGGTAGACAAAAACATAATTACACAATTTAAATTCATAATTCCATAAATTTAGACTGACTAAACATATATGTGACCGTATTCATCAGAAGGAAACGATACAATGAGGAACGTTAAATTACTGACAACAAAATAAATTAAAAATAAATGATTAGGTCAAATCATACTGTTGTCAATTTCTCTAAAATATCTATGTACGACCGATCAAGACCTTCTGTGTCAGTTTTTAAATTTAAACCATTGTTTTGAGATTTTATATGTAACATTTCAGAAATGTTTTTTAAAAAATTTTGCTACACATCTTCGCACGATGCTTTTACCTCTGGTTGGTGCACGGAAACTTTTTATTAATTAACAATAATTGTTTTTCAATTGGCATTATAACTTGGAGTATATGGAGCTTTGTATTTATTATCACTTGGTCGCTGAAGATGGTCTAAATCACAGAC